TATGATGTGATAGTTAGGATATGAAAAAGTAAGGGGTAAAAGTGACTTTTTAATATAAATGAGAAATGTTTTGTGAACGGATAAAAAAGAAAGGAGAAAGGTTTTATGGGACGGAGGGAGTAATATATATATATATATATATATATATATATATATATATATATATATATATATATATATATATATATATATATATATATATATATATATATATATACTTTTGACATAAATGTAATGACTTAATCTTATTTATCAAACATAAATAAAAAACAAATTCAAGCGCTGGACTGAACTAAAATACATCGCATTGGACTAAAACTAATTAAATTTAATTACTAGACGTTGGTTAATCGTAAGACAAAAAGAAACAAAGTCCAGTTGTGCGCATTCAAAAATAAGTCATGAGTATAGAATAAGTCTTTGAAATGATTTTGTCATTAATTAATATCTCATACTTCGTGTGTTTCGAAATATTAACTACACTTTGAATAACATACAAAATTTTCTTTCTTAATTTTTTTTTCAAATTGGTAAAAAAATAAAAAATATATATTTCATTGTTCAAAAGTATACAAAAATTTTACAAAATAAGATGTGATAAAAATCTTTTATTTTATTAAATGGTCTCTAATGCTCTGGCCCCCACCTTGATTGAAAGTGTTTGCTTATAGAATTGTTGAGTGGATTCCAAAGATCAACGCAGCTACACAAGCTAAGTCTTTCCCACTGCACACACTTTATCCTCACTCATGCGCGCCCAGGACACTTTCCTCGGATCACTTAACCTAAAATTATTTCAAGTGCAGCACACTTAATTTTGAAGCTTCTAAGTGATGAATTCTTGAAGAGAAGATGCATCTTAGTGGTTTGAGTAGTACTAACAATCTTTTTGAGCTTTTTCATTCACATCTTAACACAGATTATTACATTCACCTCACTTTGGAATGCAACATCCTCGTTGCATCATTTTTTTTTCAAATCTCTAGATCTTCCCGGCTAGGTGAACTCAACTCGTTGGCCCATCACGGATGTCATACAGGGTTGCTCTGATACCATTTGTAACACTTTGATTCCATCATGACCGAAAGTGTTTGCTCAAAGAATTGTTGACTGGTCACAAAGAATAACACAAATCCTTCTTGCACATTTTGTGCTCGCTCGCGTACGCCCATGGATTAAAGTGGTCTTTCTTGCGTGTGTACCAAAGTAAATAGCCTATCATGTCGCTATTACTGTAAATGACGACTTTAACCCTATAAACGGTTAAATTAAGAGCATAATTAAATGTGATAATGGATTCTTTCTTGATCATGCGTGGCATAATCCTCTACTTTTTTGACTCGCAATCCAAATTAATATTAATGATAATAATGAAGACAAAAAAAAAGATATTCATCTATGATCCAAAGAAATCAATTCAAAATAGTACTCCATATTAACAAAATCAAACATTGAAATTTATTGAGGATATGAAGTCTATAATGGAGCATCCAAACCAAAAAAAATTAATTTTATACTCCATATATAAAAATATGAATGACTCTTCCCAATATTGTCAATTAACTTTGGGTTGAATTCTTACTCTTTTACATGTTCTCATAAACAATTTTAACTGATGCTTTTCGAATAAATGACAACCTTAAGTGAGGATATTAAAGTAACACATGGAACATCTAGACCATAAAATATTATACTTCCTCCATCACAAAATATATTACTCCCTCCGTCCCCCTAAGATGTTCTCATTTGACTTTTGATGGTTTTTAAAGAGAATTGGAAAAAGGTGAAAGTTTACCCTAATACCCTTAATGAAAATGGGTGGAGTGTATTAAATGAGGTGGGTAAGGTGTAATAAATAAAGTAAGTGGGGGTAATAGTGGTATTTTAATTGTTAAAAAAGACATGAAAAGATCTATTGTGGACAAAGAAAAAGGGCTATTGGGAATATCCATGGGGGACGGAGGGAGTATCATGTTATTATTCTAGTATCATGATAAATTGTACGTAGTATTTATATACTCTCTGTCCCAAATTTGATTACAAATTGAGATTTACAAGGCAGAATTTCTCATACTCCGTATTTTGAAATCATTATATTTTTACAAATTGGTATATTGATAAAAATGAAATAATTACATATTAAAAAACTACGTCAAAAGCTTCTTTCAAATAATGAATGAAAACACACAAATAATTAAAAGTTATACAGATGAGAGAAAAAAAGATTGTAATCAAAATTGGGATGGAGGGAATATGTGTTTTTATTAATTATTTTATAAAATAAAATATTTTTCTCACATTTCCTCCCTCCTATTAATAAATTGGTGTGGTTTCCCCGGCCCACACCCCCCCCCCACACATTTTGGTTTTCTACAGGGTCCTAAAAAATTCCAGAGAAATTTACCTAAATAGTAGTAAAACATAATGATTTTCCCTAAATAACACTACATGTGTTTTTTTCCTAATGTAGCACTTTAAGTCATTATCTATTAGTCATTATTCAAGTAAATCTTTGACATCACTGGTCAATATAGACATTATTAAGTGCTATTTAGAGAATAAAACAATTTAAGTGTTATTTAGAGAAATGAGTTTTAGTGCTATTTAGTGCAAATATTTCAAAATTCTATCACTTCTAGTTCTATACAACTTTTAACGTAGTCTTCTAACATTCTGTAAGCCGCATTTCTTGTTAAAATATTAATTTGTAATTAACATAAATTGAACACTAATTTGTAATTAACATAAATTTGTAATTAACATAAATTTGTATATAAGAGCACTGGTAATACTCTTCACACCCACCGGCGTTACGGGGCGTTTAACGCCCCGGGGGCGTGAAACACCGCCCCCCGCCGGCGTGAAAAGGGCGTGAGGGCGCCTGCGTCAAACGAATGACGCGGCGTGAGGGCCGTTTTTTCTTCCCAACGGCTATAATGCCGTTA